CTTATCCCCCCCTCCCGTTCATCCCACCATCCCCAATGTAATGAATTTCGGTCACGTGAGTGCCGGGAAATTCTCTTCAAGGTACCTTTTGTGCCTAAAAGTCAGTAAATCATAATGAAGTACCTATCCAGATAATTAAAATCCATTTTTTTATATCCAAATCGGTCTTTGAGGAGCGTAGGTCACAATAAAAGTAAAAGACGGGTAGCTGGTATCACGTTCAACTGAGAAAGACAGGAAACCGAATTTTTCAATGTTAAACTGTACGCATTTAGAGATACTCTGCAGTTTGTTGAATCAAATAAATAAGATTGTTCAACTTACACCTCATGGATTTTGTACTTTTCCCAAGGAATCGTTGTAATATCAAGATGATGAAGTTTATCTGAAATGATGCAAAGGAAACCATTATCACAACAGACGTTGGTTGGAGGTCATCTCACTGATACCTTTATACGAAAAATACAAACCCATTTGGGCCATGTCTATCTAGAACAATTTTGTTCCCATGGATACGATTCAAACGTGTGATCAGTACATCCATTTGCCGACATAATCTAACAATATTGTGATCATATCTGAAAATAAATTCTGTTCATGCTCACCTGCTTTTAGTGACTTGATTAGTTGTACTTAGACATACTCATTCCTCAAAAGAATATGACGGGTTAAGTTGATTTAAACACCGGCCTAGCTCGGCCACCAGTGTCACAGGACACCGAGGTGTGTTTTTCATCTCTGTTACCGGTCAACGGATGGGCACAATAGGAGGGAAAAAAACAAGAGAAACTACTTTAAAACTACTTACCAGTCGTTTGTTCTGTTTCAGTCGTCCCACCAGCGGAACTCGAGAGTATGTGCCATGCTGTGAAAGGTGAGACAGAATGCATATTTTTGTTTATGGTTACACAAAATTGTTGGTGTGTGAAGATTGACAAAACCGAATCACTGGACAGCTATTTTGTCATTGTTGAGATCTTTTCGCAATATATGGACATCAACTTGTCCATACGGAAACAAATTTTAGCCCTTCTGGGAGTGAAAATCACCTCAGGAGAACAATACTCGGTGTCGTTTACTTTGATTGAAGGTTAAAAAGAGAATCTCAGTGAAGTGCATACAATCAGGAAGATATTCAACGGAACGGGTTGTGTATCATTCGTTCGTATACAAAGTGAGATTGATTGATTAGCTATTTAGTGATCAAGTAAATGGTTGGTCTATGTTGCTTTCTGAATGTGAGGTTTGCCCGGATTCTATTCGCAGTTAGGCAAATCAAGTTGTATTGCTACTGAGACCTAACGAAGAGTGCAAAACAGTGTGGAGCATTTCACTTAGTACTTCATTCGATCTGCACACGAAGAACTATCAGCGTTATCCATTCCATTCCATTCTTTGTATAAGAGCTACAAGATCCGGATCCAGACAAGTAATTCGAATGACAAAGTGTGTAAGCTTGCAAACAATGATTGCAATGGCCCATCACGATTGGATAAATTGTGCACCTCTCTGAGCCAACGAGCTGGTTTGTGTGGTGTTTGTTAAACCGAAAAGATATAATCATATAAATGCCACTCTCTTGCTAATCCAACTTGCGGTTCGACCCGAGTTGACGTCCCAGTCGGTAAGACATGATGATGGAGTATTGGGCCTTTACTCCACCTTAATCGCCACCTGGCGATTAGGTTCTTTTCAGAACTGAAGGTTTTGGTGGAGAACCCATACCATTCTCCTGCTAAGTAGTCGAACTTTCTAGCAGTAGCCATCCACAAAGCCGTTATGATCACACAAACAAAAATGATTCGGCCGTCGCTGCGCTTCTCGTATCAAAGATCCTAGTACCATAAGACACTTAAGTGCGCCTTATTGATCCTCGAGGAGATGGAGTAGTTCCAATAAGTTAGCGCATAGTAGGTATTGTTCGCAGTAACACGGCTTGAAGCCTCTTTCATCGACTGGATCCCCGTCAGTGGTCTTTTATAAGAAGTGCTTT